ACCAAAATTCTTTTTTTAAGCATTTGTTGATTAATATCAGAAACGTTTATCATTCCCTATAAATAAAAAGAAGTAAGGAAATACATTTCATGTCCAGAAAGGCGATGATTGAATAAGAAAACAGAGAGATGGATTTGGAATTATTTTCTATTATTACGTTAAAAGAGAGAAACAGTTATAAATTTGTTAACAATATCATGATAAAGTAATATCAGCAGACTTTATATTGATAAAATACCACCATAAGAAATTAACTTCAACCGACTTTATATTGATAGAATAACTTCAGTGATAAGCGTATACCATAACTGCCATTTATCCCCGATGGCAGCTGATAGAAATATACATGAAACCTTAGCTTTAGCCTGAGGTTTAGTTTACCTTTCGAACTAAATATAGCTGGAAGCATGATTACGTAATAACAAGTATATATTATACAGTACAGCGAACTTCGATTGTCTCAATTCCTGAACTATGGTTTTGATTGGGTGTTTGGACCAATATTAACAATTACTGAACAGCGAAACCTCGAGCGTGACGTGTTCATCGAGAATCTGCTGAAGACAGATGGCGCTGTAACAAAAAAACAACAATTACATAAAAAAAAGCAATTGTTCACGGTCATTTGAACAATTAAACACAGATTTAAATATGTAGAACCACAGGATATTATTAGCTTCGTTCTATAGTCTTCGTCTTGAACAGTGAAGGCAGAATACTCGTTGTTTATGTCACATTTAACAGGTGAAACTGGAACCACGTAAATGGAGCACAAGCTGCCCTTTTAGTCCTGAATTAGCGTGTACATTTTACAAATATATTAGGCAACCTGGTCTAAAGTTACACGCATTTAGAAATATGTATGTGAATATGCGTATGAATGTATATTGAAGCTTCATCATGGATTTACTGTTAACGAGTTTATTCCTTTAATACAAAAATATGACCAATATTTACTAACTTTGTATACAAATATAATATTTAGAAACGTATGCGGAAGACGATCGCACACAAAAAATATTCATATACGTTCTTCTTTTAACAGTTCTCAGTAATGCTTATAGTATTGTTGCACAATGAAATATTTTCAACAGTTCTAAGTAATGTTTATAGTATTTTTGCACAATTAAATATTTTTAACAGTTCTAAGTAATGTTTATAGTATTGTTGCACAATGTAATGTTTTCAACAGTTCTAAGTAAGGTTGTTACCTAGAATTACGCCCCAGTGGCAAGCGGTATGTCTGGGGACTTACAACGCTAGAAACCGGATTTCGATACCCGTGGTTGGCAGAGCACAGATAGCCCATTGGGTAGCTTTGTGCTTAACTACTAACAAACAAACAAAACCTAAAATTACATTTGGTCGAAGTTAGAAGAAACAAATAAATTTTTTGGTTTCAATATGTTGATAACGTTTTTTCAGCCTTAGATAACATTAATTTTATTCATGAGTTTTGTCTCATCTAAACCAGATACACCCAAACATAAAATTCACGATGGAAACAGAAGTTGATGACAAATTATCATTTCTAGATGTTTTAATTAAAACGACAAACAGAGACTTCCAAACCTCACACACACACACTGGACTTTATGTTCCTTGAAATTCCTTTCGTGACCAATGCCAAAAGTTAGGTATGTTAAAAGGTGCTATTCGTACAAATAAAATCATAACTTCAAAACATTGATTGTTTCATAAAATAAAATGAAAATATTAGATTTCAGTTCTGTGTATAAAACAATATCCCTCCCACTGTTGTTAATTGCTTCTTTTGAAAATAAACTACAAATTGACACAGAAGATGATTCTTCAACAGACATCCCTGTCACTTTTATTATACCGTTTATCACAAACATATCTGATGCTATCAAACAAACCTGTTTAAAAACAGTCAGAGAGTACGACATTAATATTAAAGTACAATTTACATTTTTTTACCTTGAAATAAGTTAGGTCAACTGCTATCCAAAAAGTATATGGATAATGATACTTCAGGAAATGTGTACGGAATATAATGTACGGATTGCAGAAGCTGTTACATTGGTGAGACAAACAGACGACTTTCTACTCGTTTACGTGAACATTTAAAATCCTCATCTCATGTTTTTGAACACATGTCTAGGAACAATCATTCTTATGATTCTTCTCAGGTAAAAATCTTCAGCAGAGAAGACAACATTAATAGATGAAACATAAAAGAAGCCCTATTAATAGTAAAACATAACTCTATTCTTAACAAATACAATGGTGTTTAGTTATATCTCAGGCCTCAAAGTTTTATTTATTATACCTAAATTTGACAGTTTATTGATAAATTAATTTATTGTTTACAATTGTTAGTAGTATGCTTGTAGGTTAGTTTTTTTTATAGATCCTCACGTGATTCTTTTTTAGGTTAAATTCTGTCAGCCTCAGTTCTTGTAACTCACCTGATGATGCCAGGTAAACCTGATGAAACGTTGTGAATAAAATAAACAAAAGCTTTACTATGTACAACAGATAAAAACTTGTGGGAACGAATAATGAAATGTTTTCTAACAGATGTAAGTAATGTTTATAGTAGTGTTGTACAATGAAATGTTTTCTAACAGATGTAAGTAATGTTTATAGTAGTGTTGTACAATGAAATGTTTTCTAACAGATGTAAGTAATGTTTATAGTAATGTACAATGAAATGTTTTCTAACAGATGTAAGTAATGTTTATAGTAGTGTTGTACAGTGAAATGTTTTCTAACAGATGTAAGTAATGTTTATAGTAATGTTGTACAATTAAATGTTTTCTAACAGATGTAAGTAATGTTTATAGTAATGTTGTACAATAAAATATTTTTTAATAGATGTAATTTAACAAATATATACAATAGGTTCTATTTCGCGATGTTTGTTAATTTATTGTTAAGTACTGTGTTAAGTAATGGGCTGTTTGTACTGTGCCCACCACGGATATCAAAATTCGTTTTTTAGCATATAGCCTTGAGACTTACCGCTGAACCACAGGTGGGCGTGTCGAAACTTACATAAAACAATCGTTAAGTTTTACCTTTGATTAATCCCGAACAAAATAAATTGTTAAAGAAAACATTTCATATAATTTTTTTTAATATTTTCCCAGTAGCTATTGCTTGTATCCTTTTGAATGTTATTGCTGTGTACTCGGTTGTGCTATGACCTCTTGAATAATTGTCAGTGTGTAGAAATGTGTCATCTTATATCACGTAATATTAGTATGTTTGTTTGTTTTTGAATTTCGCTCAAAGCTACACGAGGGCTATCTGCGCTAGCCGTCCCTTATTTAGCAGTGTAAGACTAGAGGAAAGGCAGCTAGTCGTCACCA